AACTTCCTGAATGAAAATGTGACTTGTGATTCATGTTTTGTGCACTTACTGTGTGCTATAAAATGTGTAGCATTACTGCACTGAATATAAATTTAGGGATGCACGTAATGGCTCAGCACCATCAGACACAGAGATGATATAGGCTCCAGACCTGCTTATTTTAGAAACTGTTTCTGAGGAGATGCTTGGCTATACACTGGGGTTTGTTCTATGGATTATTAATATTTCAACCAAGGAAGAAACCATGCCCACTAGCATTTTAAGTGAGAGGTGAGGTTTAGCTGGGGTGTAAAAAACCTAGTCTAAACTGATACTATCAGAGAAATTACTGTTTTATAAGTCTGACTGAGAAGACAATCAAGAATGTTTGTACATATCTAGATTTCAAGAAGCTTGGTAATACTTGGATGATTGACACATATCATTTTCATGCAGTAAAAAAGTATTTACAGAACTTCACGGTTCTTCTCAAGATCTCCAGAATGAGATTTCTCCAGAATTCCATTTCTTAAATGCAGCAGGGATCTTTTCATATATATTAGTTATAGTGGATTTTCTATTTAAAACAGGCCCTATCAGCTTGGTTTAGATCCTGCTGCCATGCTGAGAATGGAGCCAGTGGCTGTTATTAACCTGCTGGGGATTCAGAGCTCAGTGGCTGCAGTTACTTGGTGGAGGACTCCTGCATTCAAAACAACAGTAACAAGAGGTTGTATTTGTCTTCAGGAATATCCCATTCCTACAACTGTAATATCATTTGAAGCATATGGTTCTTTACCTAGAAGACGTTCATCATCTCCAAGTGAACCTTTTAGACAGTTAGATATTTGTGTCATTGGATTAGAATGATATATTTTTTTCATACTTCTACAACCTTGTTCTCCTTGGTAATAGAGGGTGTGGTGTGAAACATTACTATTGTCAAGTGGCTGCTTCTGTGTTCTTCTGAGGACACTTTGGCTCTTGTGCCTTTAAAAATCCATGAAAATATCCTTACATATGACAGCAGTTAGGGATTATCCTCAGTATTTAGCAGGAGCAAACTTTTTTTTGCCAGAAACCTTTATCTTGACCTTCCAGATGTTATTGAAGGTTATGACTGCCAACCAAATTAAATTGAGCTCCTCAGGACAAGTTTCAGTTCTACTTCATTTAAAACTGTGAGTGTTGCCAAAAAGGAGAATGTGTTTGTTGGGGAGAGTGATCCATATAGTTGCTAGAGGTACTGTATGTAACAACACCTGTATTACTGCCTCTGCTTCTGCTGCACTGACTAGGAAAGAAGTACAGAAGGACTTAGAGTCCTAATGATTTGTCATTATTTTTTCTCAAATGTTTGCAGCAACAGGAAATAGGGGAAAGTGAGCTGTGGTCTAAAGGTCAGAGTTATTACAGCTTGTTCAGAGTCAATGACCTCTGTTTTATGAGGTTGTCTGATTTCTCTACTAACTTCTATTTCACTGCAGCTTGCACAATGTGAATCTGGGCATAACCCGCACCTTTTGCTTGTTTCACTGTGGCAATAATGTATTTGCTGTGTGTACTACCTTCAGTGCAGGGTCAGGGTATACAATGAAGAAACCACTTAAATGCTTCTGATGTCTAAGCAAAATGCTTGGCTCACTGAAGTAGATTTTCAGTTGGATGACTGACATGGAATGTCACTCATTTACTGAGTAGTAAGCCATATTTTCTTCACTGTACTTCATGGATTTGGTACACTCATTTTTTAATGCAGTCATGATGTAACCAGGCCTCAGCCTGGTTAAAAGTGCTGAAGAAAGAGCCATGTCACAATATGATGATACACACAGAATTGGCAGTACATGGTACTTATTTTTCCTGGCCTTGTCCTCAGAGGGTCTGAACACTGTTTAAGCAGCTCAGCTCAGCATGCCCATTCATGAGATTCTGAGAACAAGCTTGTTTGGAATCTGTCCTTTTCAATACAGAAATCTGGGAAAGTTCCTGTTTTAAAAGTTAGTGTCTAGTTTATCACTGTTTAAGACAGAAGAGTCTTCTGAGAGCCTGTATTTTCTGGTTCATTGCCATCTGAACCCTGAGAGCAGAGATTGCTTGGACCAAATTTTCCAGTCAGGACTTTCATATTCTTCATGCTCTTCTTGAGGAAGGAAATGAGCAGTCTTCAAATTATTTATAGGTTCTTGAGGGGATGCATTATCTCTGCTTTCCTTACACACTCCTGGTCCCCCTGAGCCAAGTTCCTGATCCTGCTTCAATAGAAGAGCAGGGAAGAATTTTATACAATAAAGAGCAGGGAGTTTTCCAGGAGGCCTGAAACTCACAGTAGCTTCAAGGAAAGCAAAGGCTCAAGGACAATTCTCTTTCTCCCTCAAACTCAATTCTAATGGGACTAAACTGAAGCCTGACAAATAGAGTTTCTTCTCTCAACATGGATCCTACCATACAAGAGTTCAGGAAGAATAACTAGGACCTGGACAGAAGATTGGTAGAAAGGGTTATGGTGAATAGCATGGCCAAGATGAGTATGGCAAGTCAGGAGGGCAGTGTGTGTGTACAGGTGACTGCAAGGGGCTAGGAGAGAAACTAGAAGAAGTTGCCCAGAGAAGTTGCGGATGCTCCATCCCTGGAGGTGCTCAAGACCAGGCTGGATGGGACTCTGAACAATCTGGTCTAGTGGAATGTGTCTAGGGGGCTGGAACTAGATGGTCTTCCAACTCAAACCATTCTAGGAGTCTATGAAGTAAAAAAAAAAAGATAATAGAGACCCTTGAAAACAAGGGAAAGGGAAGTGTCATAATTACCTTCAAGGCAAAAGAAGAGAATCCAGGGAACTACACATCTGCCAGCCTAATCTCAGCCTACAGGAAGATTATGGAATGTGCAGTGAAGGAGCCTCATGGCAACAGAGACCCGGAACCACGAGCAGGAGCATGGACTGATCCAGAGAGGTGACAGAGCTCCATGTGTGCCACCAGAGGGCACCTCTGCTCCAGGCCCAGGAGGTGGCACTGAGAAGGTGGCAGAGGAGATGGAGCATCTCTGGGGCCTGCAGTGGCCAGCCAGGCAGGGACTGTTGGAAGTTCCCCACAAGAAATATATTCATGGTGGAGAAAAATCTCTGAAGAAAAAGAGAATTGAGGAAAAGACAGTTTTGGAATGCAGCTACACTACTGGACAACAGATGACTTTCTACCTCAGAAACTGCTTTTCAAGTTATAAAAGTGTTAAATTTATTCTATTTAGTAACAATGTTGTTAGAAGAATACCCTGCTTTGTATGTAATATGCAGTTTCTATTACTGTTAAAGCCTGTGCCTATTTGCTGATTGTAAACCCTATGCTCACTAGCCCTATTAGTAGAATTTATAGCTTTTCCCTGTTCTCTATCTCCCTTACCCGTGTCTAGATATTCCCTTGCATGTAAGACTCCCTAAAAATCCTCCCAAATTCCACACATTCCATGCTCTACCGATAAAAAGCTAGCTCACACTGCAGTAAAGGCATTTTGCCACTCTGTCTTTGCTCTGTGGGATATTTGTGCGAAGTGAACCCACGGTCTAATATTCTCGGAGCTGTAACAGTTCCTGCCTCCGATAAGGGACCATGATGGTTTGTACCCAGCTAGGGTCATCAGCTAGTTTGATGGGCCATGAAACGAGCAGCTGCAGATGTTGGGATACTGTTTGCCTTGAATGCTGCTGCCTTATGAAGAAAGACTTTTACCTCAGGAGCTCCAGGTCATTTCCAGGTGTCTGAAGCCTTCAACTTCTGACAGCGGCATTCTGCACAGCTGCCCTGCACCTTGCCAGAACTGGTGGCAGCTGAATGACTGAGTCACAAGGGGCTGCCAATCTGCTGTCTTGCCTCAGGCTGTCGTATCTTCACTAGAATAATCCCCAGATCTTATCCCATGACTGCCAGAATCCCTTGTGCTGGGGTCAGTCATTCCCTATGCTCAGCTGGGGCTGGAGGTGGCTGGGCAGAAAAATGAGGGAACTTAAGGCTTCCACCGGGAGCACTGGGGCGGGTGATGTGCCAGTGGCTGATGGTTTCTGTCCCCAGTCAGCTGCAGAAAGTGCTGCACTCCTTGAGCCCCACCCAGGACCAATTCCATCTCCTGCACCAGGGACTGGCCCTTGTCTCTCTGTTCAGGTTGATGTAGGGAAGAATATACCACTTGCCTTATTGAAGAGGATCCAGGAAGAGGTCACTGTCACCCCAATAACCTTCAGAGAGGTTTTTGGTCTAAATCTGGGAAATTTTGGGCAAAATGCTAACAGCTAAAATGTTCTGTGGGCATTATCAAGCAATCTGAAGCAAAGAGGAAAGTGACAGGCTTTAGCTCCCCACCAGGAAGGAGGCAGAGGGCAGGGATGGGTGTGGAAGTGTTTCAGCACTGACACACCAAATAGTCTCATATGAGGAGCCTGTTGTGTGAGCCTGGCCATAAAGGATGGGAGCTAGCCTGGCAGCACGTCAGCACATCCCTACTGAGCAGTGTGCATGTGTCAATTGATGTGTTCTCACCAGCAGCCTTTACCTTGCAATAACAGGAGGAAGTCCAAGAAAGAGGCCAAGAGAGGTGACCGGAGCTGTCTAGTTCATCTGATCAATGGGGGTTTGTGAATGTAGGTGATTTGGAAATCTGTACAGCAAGAACTTGTGCTTGGATTTCTGCTGTAGATTTTCCCACTTCAGTCCAACAATTGGGGATGAAAATGCATGCATATGTTAAATATGCTGATATATTTATGTATGTATGATTGTATCTGAAATGTTCGTGGACCTGAACTATACTTGGGATTGACTTGTAGATTTTGGATATAAGATCAATTTCAGATCAGCTGTCACAACCAAAAAGAAAAAGGTTGAATTTAAATTGTCTCCAAAAGATGCAGAGAAGAAAGACAATAAAGACCTCTTTCTGGTTTTGAAAACTCATATTTATAATATGCAGAATAACAAACTGTTTGCTAAAATGTAATTACAGTTCAGTGACTTTTCCATCTATTTTTCCCTGCAGTTTCCCTACCTGCTATATTCCAGTTGCTATATTGCTGTCTGTCAATTCCTCAGAGGTATTTACTAGTGTCCTGCACTTTAGTATCACATATAACCATCGACAATCAATGAGATTCTTTTCCTACTCATTTTCAGTTATTTAATATGACCATATTTTAGTGAAAGTTGGAAACCGAAAGTTATAAATTCTCACCCATCTGAATGCATTGTATTTAGAGAATTGTCATCTGTAGTTAGTGGTGTGTTCATAAACAAATGAAAGTTCCTCTTGGAACCCAGGGAATAAAGTAAGTGGGGCTTTGGGAAAATGTTGTGCATTGTAGGACTGTCACCTGTACTGGCTTGGCTCTTCTGAGCTTGGCTTGAACTTGGCTTCTTCTTCAGCCTCTCAGTCATATTTGAGGTTTTTTATGAATCTGGAGATAGCAAACTGGAGAACCCCATATATTTCTTGGTTTCATAGCAAAATATATTTTCTTCTGTGTAAAATTTGCATTTAAGATAAAGGAGAGCCATTTAATGGAGAGACATTTAGTACAAGGGAAAGGGAAGTTACAGGTGTGACTAGGGGTTTATAATCATTGATTTTCAGCTGCTGTTGAGAGAACGCAGAAAGAAGAATTCCTTGAGAAGATACCATACCTCAAGAATATGAAGAACTCCTAAAAGCCTTTGAATGAAATTTGCAGATTCTCCAGGAGGTTTCCAGGAGTAAGCAACATGTCAGTAGTTCAGCTGCCTGAAAGATGAACACAAACACACAAAAAATTACTCTGAAGTGTACTCAGGTGAAACAGGAGGGATGTAGTTTGAATTTAGGGAAGCCAGTTGTTTCCTCAACTTCACAAAATCTTTTTATCCCATCAAAGCAGGAAACATAAAACAGGCCTCTTAACAAACCTATATTTTAACAGCATCTTGAGAAGTAAACAAGAACCTTAATTACAATACCAGGGCAGAAGCCTGCTTATTTTCTGACTTACTATTTGCATAATTCACAAGTTCACTGAAGGAATGTGCATTTTCATTTCTGTTCTTCTGCTTCATGCCATGCTTAACTGTTTGCTCTCAATTCATGATATGTAGTTGTCCCTGGGAATTAATTTAGCTCTCAGAGATTTAAGTTTGAAAATATTGGCATTTATGTCTTTTCTCACAGGAAAGAACTTATCACGATTTCTGCGTAATATACAAAAATGGTTGTGCTCTGCTAAACCATGGGTTTTAGTTCTGAGGAATAGAGATTAGCTAGATCTTTTTTTAGAATAAATGCATATCATCAGAAAAATCCACATGATTACAATTCAGTTTTCATGACACTTTTGAAGAAATTTCAGGGGAATAGACCTGAAGCAGGCACCAATTTCTGCTTAAAACCAGAGAGGGAGTGTTGGAATAGCTAACAGTCTTGGAACAAGAGGAATCAGGTTTCTGTTTCTGGCTCACATGAAAACAGAAGTGGCTGCACAAAGGCAGGGTCTCCCAGAGAAGACAGAGGGTAAGCAGTAGTCATGGGGGAGTGGCAGTTTCTGTGTGAATGAGTGTGGTGGAGCAGTAGCTTGAGCATGGATCTCTGACCCAGCATATTTATGTTAAATTTTCAGGGCCACACTGAGGACATACGTCTTGGATAGAAGGTCCAAGGTCCTTCTTTCAGAACTAGCCTATCCAAGACTTTCTACCACAACATTATTCCTGTCTTTTACATCTGAATTTTGTCTTTTGTATGGACATTCAGAGAAATGCTTCTCATTAATGTCAGTCTGTTATTGTCTCATGAGAAAGAGTATGTGATGGTAGAGACACCCTATGAATTCCTTCTCCAGAGAAGATGGCTAATTTCCCTTTTTTATCTCCCTCTCTACCCAGATAATAAGCCAGAAGATGATACACACACTGGAAAACTTTTTTGTCGTTTGTATCTGGGCTTATGAAAAGATTTGCACACGAGGAAATGAAAATCACTGGCATCTGGCTTGGTAGAAGCAAGTGGTAATTTCACCCAACAAAAAAAGGGATCTCAGGTCCCCAGGCTGAGATCAAGTCAGGAGATCTGGGGGAGCTTATAATCTGTGGTCCAGACTGCTGGTCTCTGAAGAAGCAGGTGACTGGGAATTTGATTCTAGTTGGGGTTTCAAGTTTGGGCAGTTTTTTTCCTCCTAAACCAGGAGAACAGGCTGTAATGATCAGATGAACTTGTCTTCAGGCCTGCAGTTCAAGACAGGTCTCTGGAAGCCTTATGGTAGCTGCTGTGTTAGTTACAGACAGGCTATCATGGCTTCAGCTTTCTGGGTAAAAAAGGGAAATCAGAGCACCTTAGAGACGAACCATGTGAAGGATTGAATAAGATGGCCCTAAGAATTTTGTTTCATGGCCTACAACTTCTCAGCTCTCTGAGATCCCATTGTGTGTCTATCAGGAAACTGAAGTCCATTTGTTTCAGACCAGAAGAAAGCAACAATGATGGAAATTGTCAGGTTTGGAAGTGCCGATATCAGCCCTTTAGAGCAAATCTGGCCAGGCCTTGCAGTTTCCTGCTTAAGTTCATGCTTTCTCCTTGCTGAAACCTCCATTCTGAAACTTTCTGGTTCACAAATGAGCTGTGGAAGAGCAAGTTTTGGAGTTCACTCTTGGCACAGCTGGTTGAGCACAAACAGCACTTGCAAAAGTTTGAACTGGGGGGGCAGGGGCAGATATCCGGGTTGCTGGGGAGGGTTGATCTCTTCCACAGTGTGATGTTTGATGCCACGCGCAGCAGACATTCTCTCTGAACACAGCAGAGTGGGCAGTGACTGCAGTCTTGTCCTGCCTGGCCCAAGCATTCCCTTCCACACGGAATGCACGTTGCATGTGTGCCTGCCTGTGTGCCTGCCTGTGCCTGCCCTGGGCAGTGCTGGGCAGGATTGACTTGGGCCCTTCTCTGCCCTCTTCTCTGCCTGGACCCCTTTGGTCTTCTGACATACTCTATTATGTGTTTACTCCAGCTCAAGGGCTCTCGGAAACTCATTTTTTTCAACTGGCACAGGCTATAGGATAGTTACACTCCCTCCCAGCACAGACTCAATTGCAGAATTACAGTAAAATGTAATTTTTTTTTCCAATAGGGCAAAGTTCATCATTTAGTTTTAGAAAAAGGATAAGACAGGTGCTCTCTGCAAACATATTTAATAAAGTCCTTTGATTGCTCTGAATTGATTTTTGTATGGTAATTATCTTGTTATATAATTAGAAGCTCTTATATATACTTTCCTTAAACTTGTTCCTTTGATGTTGCACTTGGGCGTCTGTATTGCTTTGTGGGATGCAGTCCAAAGTTGCTTGGATACAGTCCAAGATTACTAATGCATAGACATATTTGCAAAACAGGACTTTTAAAGCTGAGCAAACATGGGTAAAAGTTTTTTCTTCCTGACACTCTGTATAAAGTTTTGGAGCTCAAAACGCTGATTTAGTATAGTAATTTTTGCCAGATTTGTTCAATAATCACTGATAGTGGCAAACAGTTCCCCTTTTTCCAATTAGGGAAAAAAACTCCTGAATGTTCATCCAGAAGATATATAACCTGTTGGGGAATCATATATAAGCGGAAATTTTGGGGTCCTCTTGGCTTTAAAAAGGATGTCCTGAAAAATCTCAGCCAAATCAAAGTGCTCAAGTGCACACTGGGAGTTTACAGAGGAGAAGTCAGATTTCTTCTCATGGAAGTTGCCTCTTCTGAAAAGTGGGATAAATTCTATGGGCACAGGGTGCAGCCATTTGCCCAGGGCAGCCTATATGTACTGAAGACTGAAGTAGTGCTTACATCTCAGTGCAAACACATCCCAAATTACAAGCAAACAAAATTACCTCCTTTTAGTTGGTTCATCCCAGAAAGTTTCTGAAACATAAAATGAACATTAGATGAGTTTTGTATAAGACAACATATACCAAAAAAAAGAAATAGAGAAGAAAAAAAAAAAAGGAAGAAAAAAAGACTTATGCCCTGGAAAAACCAGATCAAATATATATATATCTTTCAAAATCAGTATTTCATGGGAAAAATTCTGCTAATAAGATTCAGTTTCAATGACTGAATTTAAAGAATGAATTCATCCTTGAAAATAATAACCTGAATAATGGTGGATAGCTGAAAAAAACCCCATTTTAGTAATTTCTGGATTTCTTTTGTTAGAGAAGAAGACAAAATATTTGGTAGGAAAAACCAATAGACATATTCTTAAATCTTGCACAAAATATATGATAAGTTTTTAGTGAAGGAAATCAGCTCTTAGTCCATGCAATAATCCATGTACTCTTAATTCTATTGTCTTGCTCATGTCTGCTTTTACAGTGTTCAGGGAAAAACTGACGCTGCCTTTGATCTGGGATACCTATTTTGGAGCCATTGTTATTTCACTATATATAGGTATTAATATTCATTATTATTTGGAATAATTTGCTTGTACTGAAATTCCATTAAAAGTGTTTCTTATTAAAGTGACGAGCTACTGAATAACCTAGCAACACCTGGACAGTGTTAGGTAATTTTAATATGCCTCTTTGCCTGTCACCCACAATATTAGAATAGTTTTCCTATTATTGCTTTGGCATAATTAAAGTTATACTCCACCCTTTTTCAATAAAGTTTACAAAGCACGCCCTCTGAAATCCCACAGGCTCTTTCAGCAAAAAATAGAAAATGTGAGAATAAACACTCACAATTTATTTTTAGATAAAAATTAATCCAATCCAGGTGTGAGAAACTCAGAAGCTGTTGGGTCAACCAGTTCTATGTTGTCAACAAGCAAACATACCTATTGAAAACTATAATTTGCAGATCATCCTCCTTCCCCTGTGGTCAAAGTCATATGTTTTATTTTAGGTAGATAAATACTCTTATGCTCTGAGACCTGACCCTAGCCTACCTCCAGAAAACCCCAGGACACTCAGAGGGATATTAAAAGAGATAACCAGAAACCAGTTGATACCAGTGGCTTCAAATAACCTACTGAAATGGAGTAAAGTGGAAAGCCAGGAGAAGGGGAGGATGCAAGGGGGAGATGGCCAAATGGGAGGGAAGATGACAGACTGAGTCTCTTTTCAGAAGCTAATAAAATCACAAGGGAGTGGAAGCATGGTGAGAGATGCAAAGATTTTATAGTGAAGAAGCAGCAATCGTCCTGGCCTGGGTCCTGGTGCCCTGTGAGGAGCAGCGGGTGCTCTGATCAGTGCGGGGAACATGGCCATGCCTGCCAATGAGGCATCAGATGAAGCAGATAAGGTCACTCCCACAGAAGACAGACTTCAGAGCCTTTCCTCTTAGACACATGTGAAAGCATGGGAAAGAGCGAGGATACAGCTCACTACTAACCAGATCAGAGGATTCCTTGGAGAATTTTTGTAATGCTCCAGGCAAAGGCAGCCACAGACTCTGGAGTACCATGCTAGGTAGATGGCAAAGAACAAAATTGTAAGTGTGACAGGGAAAGTATCTGTACATGTAAACCTCCCACCAAGCCTTGACTTGCAATAAGAAGAGCTGACCTTGATTTCCAAAGATTTTCATTCAACACTGACTAGAGACCAAAGCCAGAAACATGAAATATTAAGTCAGATTTGTTATAATATATTTCTTCCCTCCCAAGTGATGACTCAGTAGATAACTTCAGGTATGCAGCCTTTTACTAGATGCAGGAAAAGGTATCGGGATAACATAGAAAAAAAAAAAAAGCACCTAACCAAGCTCCACATTACAAGCCCATTAAGGCAGCTCTCTTTTCAGTGAAGTTGTGTGAGAAAGAATAGCTATGCTCTCCTCTTGAAGCGACCCAAATCCCAAAGAATTCCTCTGGCTATCAAGGCAGAGGTTGGGTACAGAGCCCCTTATGGCATTACAGCTGGCCTTGCACTTGAGCTGCACTGTTCTGACCCCATCCCACCACGTCTGTCCTCTAACCTTTCCTGAGAGCCTCTTCACCAGTTCCTCACAAGGTACCCTCAGTAGAGGTAACCCCTTAATAAGGCTGCTGTTGCTGGCAGGTACTGCATAAGAGGAGAGGGGAGCTCTGCTGTCTCTCTTGCCTTGCCTGCAGCTTCTAGGCTGCAAGAAGAGCATCACTCATTCTAGAAGCTTTGAACAGGTTTTTCACAATATAAGTATAACTTTTGTAATGATTTCAACTTTCTGATGAGTCTGTTGTTACCAGAAGCTCTCTAAATACTGTACCAGGTGACTGTAAGCATGCTTAAGCCTGTTCACTGGTTTCTCCATCTGACTCTCTCACTTCTGCACTAGATGCCACCAGAGTACTTGCCTTTCTGGGCTTTTATCTATCAGTAGTTGTCTGGGAGGGAATACCTTTTTATTTTGCCTTGGGACAACAGGCTTGCATGTCTTAGGGTCTTTTTTTAACATACAACTAAAATTGCAGCCAAAGCAGTGACAATTTATTTTGGGGTTTTATTCCACACACATTTCTATAAAACCAGGAGAAGCAATTGGAGAAGTGTGAGTGAGAAACTTCAGGAAAAAAAGAAACAAATCCAACCAAAAATCAGCTGTGTATTTCAGGTCAAGAAGAAATTTCACCACTGTGTGTTTGAACAAATAAATATGTTGTGCTCATTCCAACCCTTCTCTGTCTTCTTCCTTTTTTTTTTTTTCTTTTTTTAATCCTAAAGATAGACATGTTCACAGTAGGCATAAACAATTAAGTTACTTGAAACTGTAGGAAGTGCATGGATGCAGTGACTGCCATAATCCTGAGTCTATTACAGAGTTGATTGTATCTTTCAGGGACAAAAACTGTCTCTTCATGTATGGGAGATCTAAATGATAGATGGTTTGCAGGTCAAACATAATCATAGTGTGCAGGCAAAGGCTTGCATTACAGCAGAGTGAGTCCTTTGGTCTCTTTTCACCCTAACCACCTCCAAGGCTGGGCACCAAGACAGGGTTTACAGTCATGAAGTGCATGTGGGATCAGATATATGTTTCTGCTGGTCCAGTCTATTCCACAGGGGACTGCAGCTTGGCCAGACCTGAGTTCTGTGGGGACAAGGTAGGAAAATGATAGTTCAGTCTTGTGGATCTGAGTACAGCATACCCACTCAGGTGGGGTTAGACAAATTCAAGCAAGATGCCATTAATATCAAAGTATAAACTGGATCTTTTCTGTGAAGTTTTCCCCTCCCTCCCTTGCAACATAAGCAATCTTTTAATAGTTTCTTGTACAATCCTGATGTGCAAAGCTACTGACAGGTATGACAGGACAAACACCCTCTTCCTGGTCATGACAAACTTAAATTTTATGTTGTGTGCAGTTTCCACAGCACACAGAGGTGGGACTTATTGTGCCTGGGTGATTATGCACTCAGCACAGGAAACTACACCTGCTTTAGGTGGATTAACTGCCATTACACTCCATGATCAACACAGCTGGGGGCATCTAGGGGACTATCTATTTCATTTGAAAGAAGGCACTAATGGAGTGTGAATCACACTGTAAATCTTGATGACGACTGTGGGAGTGTAGACACCTTGCTGACATGCAGACATCACCAGTGTAAATGCCTGAAGTTTGGTGAACTGAATCCATGCTTCACCTCTTTTACAGGTGGTCATAGATTACAGTGGTCACTCACACAGAGTACTGCTGAGTCATGTCTACCAGATGACTGTGGTACTTGTTTGTCATATACACTAAGAATCAAAATTGCATTATTGATCTATAACTTGAAACTACTTTGTCATTTTCTTTGAGTTCTTTTGTCTCTTGCATTCTTCCTCCCCGACATGCATGCACACTCAAACCATGTGCACACACAGAGAAAACGAAAACTATAGTATACTTCAGCCTGAGGGCTAAGTTAATGTTTCTTGCACACAGTGCCATTGTGGAAACAGGAATGGAAAATTTCAATGAGCCACTACAGACTGAAATCTTTCTCACTTGTTGAAAACAAGTCTAATCAAAAATAACTTGGAACACTTTTCAACTTGTTGGGAATACTTGTGGGTGTGGTTGTAGTATGTTTAATCTGTATGCTAGGGAGACTTAAGTTTTTTATGATGCAAGTTTGCCATAACAAATTCATCTTAATTCACTTCAAATTCCATTAAAGACATTTATTATTGTCAATAAAATAACGTGAATATTCTTCAAGAAAATGCATCAGCAAATGTACCACTGATGCTAAGTGCCTCAGTCATAAACGCTGAGGTCTAAAGTGTCTGCAGTGTCTGAAAAGGCTACATCACACACATAATAGTGTAGTACAGTGTTTGGGTGCATCATTCTTTCTAAACTCCTTAAATAATAAATAAATAAAAGGTAGAGTAAAGGCAACTGATGTGAAGCCTGTTTCACCCTGCCTCTCTGCATGATCTGTCTCCACCCCTTCCGTTCAGGATGACTCTTGTGCTAAGCCTCTCCTCCTCACTTCCCAATCCCAAAGTCTGCAGAAGAGTTGAAGAGCATCTGGAAACTGGATGGGCAGCACCAGGAGCAAAACTGTCAGCAGAGCTGGTTTTCTTCTTTTTGTGTTTAAAGAAATCTAGCTGGTGTCTCACTGAGCAGCAGAAGCAAGCTGGGCTAGAACAGGATCCCATTCTCCAGGTATGTGATGGCAAACTGGTCCATACAGACTGAGTTGGCAGAAGAAAAGGATAACTATTTTACCTGTGCTGAATGGGAAAATCTGAAATTGTTAAGCAATAAGATATAGCTCTTTGAAAAGGCATGAAACATTCAGCAAAATCTACTCCTTTGGAGATACTATTACTTTGGTTTTAGTAAAAAGATTGCACAAAACGTAGTATCAAGGGGTGGATAAGATGAAGGCTGTCAACTTTGGGAAAGACTGGATTTCATTTCGAGTCCTTGCTACAAGCTGTGG